AGCGGCGCTAGCATGACTACAGAACCCCAAGAGTCAGGCAACGTACGCTAGCTACATGGTCCGATTTGTCTGCTTTTATCTTCGCATCATTGCAGACGAAGAGCATCGGGTAGATGGATATCTAGCAAAGAGGGATCGAGCCGTAGACGCTGACGAGGACAGTGCAAGCGAGGGGGATACCAGCACAAAGAGCGAGTACGACGACAGCGACAGGGAGGGGACAGTGGACAGCAACAACGACGTTGTAGTGGTGCAGAGACAGCTGCGACGAGCTGCACTGGCTAACAAGATGAAGGACGCCCGTGAGCTGTTCAGGTGGAAAGACGATCAGAAGGCGCTGGCAATACGGCTATGGCTTTCGCTGGACGACGGCAATACAGCTGCGCAGACAGACGCGCTACTCAACTCGCTGGCTTCGTTTATTCTCACAGGCTACGGCACCGATGAGTTTTCGAGTAGTTTGGTGCAGTATCTGGCTATGCTAGGCATAGATACACAGACAAACCGCTTGCGTACTGCAAAGAATTTCTTGTACATGCTTGCTGGCGTGGTCTACTGCGTGCGAGTACTAGCAGTAGAAAAGGTGTTGCCCGCAGTTGAGCGTGAGGATCAGACTGAAGAGGACATGGAGCAGTTTTTAGATATGCGAAAGAAGTATCTGGCAGACGGCTCGTTCAGCCCGATAAGTGCTATGATTAGTCTGCTTGCATATGGCAAGCATGCGGCACTCAATGAAGGTAATGCTGGCAACGCGCACTGGTCGAATGACAAGAAGATCTTTTATCTCAGCGGCCGGCCGATTGTCATTGAGCGTTTCCGCAAAATGGCTTAGAGCATGGAGGCTAAGTTGGAGGATAAGTTTTGGCAGCTATGCTGGGTGGACAACACGGCTGAACGCTTTTCGATTGATCTAACGAAGATTCAAGATGATATTACATTCACAACCTGGGGCAAGTCGTTTGTCACGACTGCAGGCAACAATTTGTTAGATAGTCTGGAGTGGCTGCTGACGAGGGCGTCTAGCACAGAGGGCGGCATGCGACTGCAGACGTCAGACGGTCGGTGGAGGATCAAGAAGGTACACGAGTATCTGCGACAGATGGATTGGTTCTTGGAGCTGCTGCTTGGCTGTGTGCATATTGAGTCTGGACAGCCAGCGCGAGGCTTGGAGATTGTGACGATGCGGCACTGCAATGGGCTGCTACAGGACCGCAATATCTTTATTATAGACGGTACTGTGATGACGGTCGTCCGGTATCACAAGTCACAGTCTCAGTAGGACAAGCCAAAGGTGGTTCCGCGCTTTCTGCCGCCGCGCGTAGGGCAGATTATGGCGCTGTACTTGAGCTACTTACAGCCGTTCCGAGAGTTTCTGGTGGTGAGCGTGCTAAATGGTGGCTTAGACGACTACGTGTGGAGTAATAAGCAAGGGGCATGGAATACCAATCGACTTACGAGGGTGCTGAAGCGCAAGACGGGCAAGCGGCTAGGGGTAGAGCTGCACACGCTGGACTACCGTCATACGGCTGTTGGCATTAGGCGAGTCATGGTAGGGGAGTCGTTTGGCAAGGGGTATCAGGACGAGATTGGTGAGATTGATGAGGCGGAGGTGGATGAGGATGAGGAGGACTTGATTGAGCTGCAGAACGCACGAAGCACGGTAATGGGCGTGGGCAACTACAGCGTCTCGATTGATATTGTTAAGCATCTTAGCACGCGGTCAATCGATGCGTTCCGGGCGCTGAGTACTGCTTGGCACCGCTTTTTGGGCGTAGATGGACAGGCTGAAGCAGGCGAGGAGGGTAGGGTACGGCGGAAAAGGCGGATGCGAGAGAGTATCTCAGGGCTGCTGGTAGTCCCGAAAGAGAAGGCCGTTCAGGTGGAAGACGCGCGAGCTGCCGCTGTACAGAGGGCACTGCAGCAGGTGCTGGGGAANCAGGATGTTGGG